ATAAAAGATATTACCTCACCCACCTTCTCTCTCTAAAAATTCTCATTGGCAATCCCTGTAAAAATGTGGTTGGTAACGTATCCAAGTAGTGGCTAGATATTACTGTGATGGGCACCTGAAACACAAATGAGATTCAATATCCAAGACATGAAACTACATAATGGAGCTTACACGAAAAAATCCTGAAATTATAGCAGCTCTCTTAGAGCCAGCGACCTCTCTTGAGGTTTAATTTTGTTTTATTTAATGAGTGCCCTGCTGTGGTGTCTAAGTGCCATGAACACTAGTACCTGAACTATAAGACCCAGAAGCTGTAAATACGAATGCATGTGCTTTACTCACATAAACAGTCTCGTTGACTGGCTTAACTTTGTTCAGATAAGCAGTCTCATTCAAGTCAAAAGGACTACTTATTCTGGACCCTGATCTTTTCAGGATCAGGTCCCAAAATTGCTCATCTTCTGGAGAATCTTAGATTCTGTATCTAGCAGTCACACACTGCCTTTCCCTACATCATTAACTTACTTTTGTGAAATTATTTAAAAAAAAAAAAGGATTGAACCTGACACGTCACAGAACGAGGGAAATCAAACCCCTGAGGTAACTGAAATTAGAGATTTAGAGCAAAAATTTCAAAAAGTGCTTAAGTCCCACTTTCAAACGAGACATAGGCACTTTAAAAGTCAATAGGACTTGGGCTCCTAAGTCACTTCTGAAAATGGGACATAGGGGCTTTTGAAAATTTTACCCTTAACCGTTATATCTGTAGCACACAAGCATCACCTCTTTTTCTCTTCTTTTAAATTGGTAGAGGGATTACAAAGGGAATCTTTGTCTGACATCCTAATTATCATAGAATCATAGAATATCAGAGTTGGAAGGGACCCCAGAAGGTCATCTAGTCCAACCCCCTGCTCGAAGCAGGACCAATTCCCAGTTAAATCATCCCAGCCAGGGCTTTGTCAAGCCTGACCTTAAAAACCTCTAAGGAAGGAGATTCCACCACCTCCCTAGGTAACGCATTCCAGTGGTTCACCACCCTCTTTGTGAAAAAGTTTTTCCTAATATCCAATCTAAACCTCCCCCACTGCAACTTGAGACCATTACTCCTTGTTCTGTCATCGGCTACCATTGGAACAGTCTAGAGCCATCCTCTTTGGAACCCCCTTTCAGGTAGTTGAAAGCAGCTATCAAATCCCCCCTCATTCTTCTCTTCTGCAGGCTAAACAATCCCAGCTCCCTCAGCCTCTCCTCATAACTCATGTGTTCCAGTCCCCTAATCATTTTTGTTGCCCTTCGCTGGACTCTCTCCAATTTATCCACATCCTTCTTGAAGTGTGGGGCCCAAAATTGGACACAGTACTCCAGATGAGGCCTCACCAATGTCGAATAGAGGGGAACGATCACGTCCCTCGATCTGCTCGCTATGCCCCTACTTATACATCCCAAAATGCCATTGGCCTTCTTGGCAACAAGGGCACACTGCTGACTCATATCCAGCTTCTCGTCCACTGTCACCCCTAGGTCCTTTTCCGCAGAACTGCTGCCTAGCCATTCGGTCCCTAGTCTGTAGCTGTGCATTGGGTTCTTCCGTCCTAAGTGCAGGACCCTACACTTATCCTTATTGAACCTCATCAGATTTCTTTTGGCCCAATCCTCCAATTTGTTTAGGTCCTTCTGTATCCTATCCCTCCCCTCCAGCGTATCTACCACTCCTCCCAGTTTAGTATCATCCGCAAATTTGCTGAGAGTGCAATCCACACCATCCTCCAGATCATTTATGAAGATATTGAACAAAACCGGCCCCAGGACCGACCCTTGGGGCACTCCACTTGATACCGGCTGCCAACTAGACATGGAGCCATTGATCACTACCCGTTGAGCCCGACAATCTAGCCAGCTTTCTACCCACCTTATAGTGCATTCATCCAGCCCATACTTCCTTAACTTGCTGACAAGAATACTGTGGGAGACCGTGTCAAAAGCTTTGCTAAAGTCAAGAAACAATACATCCACTGCTTTCCCTTCATCCACAGAACCAGTAATCTCATCATAAAAGGCGATTAGATTAGTCAGGCATGACCTTCCCTTGGTGAATTCATGCTGACTGCTCCTGATCACTTTCCTCTCATGCAAGTGCTTCAGGATTGATTCTTTGAGGACCTGCTCCATGATTTTTCCAGGGACTGAGGTGAGGCTGACTGGCCTGTAGTTCCCTGGATCCTCCTTCTTCCCTTTTTTAAAGATTGGCACTACATTAGCCTTTTTCCAGTCATCCGGGACTTCCCCCATTCGCCACGAGTTTTCAAAGATAATGACCAATGGCTCTGCAATCACAGCAGCCAATTCCTTCAGCGCTCTCGGATGCAACTCGTCCGGCCCCATGGACTTGTGCACGTCCAGCTTTTCTAAATAGTCCCTAACCACCTCTATCTCCACAGAGGGCTGGCCATCTCTTCCCCATTTTGCGATGCCCAGCGCAGCAGTCTGGGAGCTGACCTTGTTAGTGAAGACAGAGGCAAAAAAAGCATTGAGTACATTAGCTTTTTCCACATCCTCTGTCACTAGGTTGCCTCCCTCATTCAGTAAGGGGCCCACACTTTCCTTGGCTTTCTTCTTGTTGCCAACATACCTGAAGAAACCCTTCTTGTTACTCTTGACATCTCTTGCTAGCTGCAGCTCCAGGTGCGATTTGGCCCTCCTGATATCATTCCTACATGCCCGAGCAATATTTTTATACTCTTCCCTGGTCATATGTCCAACCTTACACTTCTTGTAAGCTTCTTTTTTATGTTTAAGATCCGCTAGGATTTCACCATTAAGCCAAGCTGGTCGCCTGCCATATTTACTATTCTTTCGACTCATCGGGATGGTTTGTCCCTGTAACCTCAACAGGGATTCCTTGAAATACAGCTAGCTCTCCTGGACTCCTTTCCCCTTCAAGTTAGTCCCCCAGGGGATCCTGGCCATCCGTTCCCTGAGGGAGTCGAAGTCTGCTTTCCTGAAGTCCAGGGTTCGTATCCTGCTGCTTACCTGTCTTCCCTGCGTCAGGATCCTGAACTCAACCAACTCATGGTCACTGCCTCCCAGATTCCCATCCACTTTTACCCTCAGAACAGGTGCACATGGGCATTTCCTGACAATGTGATTCAGCTGGGAGCTGGAGAGCCCAATTCTCAGACTACAGCCTTCTCATACTGCACTTATTCTACTGACAGCCACCAAAGGAGTTCATTATGCTGTTTATGTACTCAGGTGCTTCTTAAGGGTCAGAACATTCTTAACCTAGGGTTAAAATGCAATGTAGATGCTCAAGCCCAGGGGTCCCCGACACAGGACAGCTGACTCGAGTCCCATTAACCCTAGGCTTACATTGCTGTGTAGACATAGCCAGGGAGCCTCAAAGCCCAGGTCAACTGACTCCAGCTCACACTGCAGGGCTAAAAATAGCACTGTAGACATTCAGGCTCTGGCTGGAGCTTAGGTGCCAAACCCAGTGACCGGGGGGCGGGGAGGGGGTCTCAGAACCCAGGCTCTAGCCTGAACCCGAATATCTACACCGCTATTTTTAGCCCCACAGCACAAGCTCAAAGTCAGTTGATCCAGGCTCTGAGAGTTGCTGCTGCAGGTTGGGTTTTTTTGGCTGCATAGACATACCCTAACACAGCAACTAGACACCCGCGGTTGGCCTGTGCCAGCCGACTTGGGCTCACAGGGCTCGGGCTGAGGGGCTTTTTTATTGCTTTGTAGACTTCTGGGTTCAGGCTGGAGCCTGGGCTCTAGGACCCTGTACAGTGGGTATCTGTTGCTGTGTAGACATACCCGAAGAGACGTTTCTCCCTGTCTGATAGGGTTATTGTGAATTACCGGTATTTGTTAAGCACCACCACCATCCTTGTCAGTGTATCATTAGATACACTGTTTGTCCAGGCTTTTCACTCAGTTTTAAACTCACTGGTTAGGCATCCCCCTCTCAAAATCATTTAAAGTTATGCTGATGCTGGGGGTTGCGGAATATTTACTTTTAACATCAATCAACAAGACTAAGTTCTTTGGGACAGGGACTATATTTTTCACCACATCAATTCAAGCCATCAAAATGCCACAGTGATGGATGTCCTATAAATGCCTTCATTAGTAAGGCGAGGGGAAAAAAAAATAGTTCAGGGCAAAGAGATCTCCACGTGCCTCGTTAGCAGGTACTATTGCCAATAAGTGCGAATAAGAGAATATGAAAAAAGTGGGTCTATGTTGATTCAATCTATAGATTCAACAGACAAACCTCTCTCTCTATATGGAATTAATGAAAACGTTAGGGATGCTACAAGAAGACAAGCGAGGAGAAGGAAGGTGAAGTTTGACAGACTATTAATGACGTAGATAAGGTCACACAAACATCATGTCTGAACTCTGCTACCTGTAACCTTCTTTATACCGAGCTCTTATTAGCACAGTTCCAGCAACACGGAGATTGTTCGAACGGTCTCCATGGAGTGTTCAATCCTTGGCCTCACTCCTGAGACCGCCAACAAGTGGGCCAGTTGTGGTGGGCTTCCTCCTACCCCCATCTCCATGATAAAGAACTAGAAAGAGACCCAGCGTTGGTCACATACACTGGGTCACCACACAGAGACATTTTAACAGCTTATAGTCACTACCGTCCTGCGACAGATTTTTTTAAACTGGTGACCTACACATAAAAAGTTGTCTGAACTAGTCAATCCCAATTATTATTTTTTTAATTTACTATATTTAATAACTATATAAAATCTAGTTAGAACAGCTATATTTTCCTATTCCTTGATCTCACTTCTGAGACTGAGACAAGTCCTGTACATAGACAGGATGACAGAAAGCCCCATCTACAAAATAGAGGGAGGATCCCAACGCTGAAGAATCCCACCCTAAGTTGGTGCTATTTGCTAATGCTAGAAACAAATGCACACAAATTGCTCAAAGTTGAATAAAAATCTATGTAACTTCTGTTGGGCCAGCTTTACCTCCATGATTGGACTGGATGCAAGGACCTTCTCTTCAATGTTGGTCTCACTGGCAGAGCCACCAACGGATGCGAAGAAGCGCATGGCATATTTGGCGGAGACTGTCTTTCCGGCACCGGATTCTCCGCTTACGATAATGGACTGGTTCTTCTCATCCCTGTGTGTCAGAGGAGAAAGGCTTTTTATACACTCATCTGCTTGTAAAGCTCTGGGTTGTCTCTCCCACCTCCAATGGCTCTTGCTTTGTGTTTCTGCATCCTCGTATGCAGCTCAGTTTGTTTTCAGTTTCCCTTACGTGCATAGATTCTAGGATGAATGAAGTATTCATGCTATTGAAAAAAGCATTACCAACACAGTGTCAGAACGATACATTTCCCAACTGGAAACTTTAAAAACAGAATTATTTTAATCTTATCACCCACTGCTACAATTACAAAGCACCACTGCCTCCTACTGCAGGGAACCAGCATCCTGGCATTCACCCCACAGCGCTACAGTTCTCCAATCATGATAATCCTGCTGTTTAAGATTCCTCCTATCATCACTCAACAGGATTTTGCTGGATATCAGCCACAGACTATTGTGCTCTTGGTCTCTCCCACCCTTCATTCCTTTTAAAAACAGAAACTGATGTTTCGTCTCAGCATTCCAACCAACAGAGAACTGGACCCACAGCAAGTACGTTAATATGCCCTTTGATAGTGGAACTCACTGCTGTAGGACACTACTGAGATACAACTTAGTACCTTAAAAAAAAGGGATTAAACATTATGTCGTAGACTCCTGTTGATTCAAAACCCTACTATCCGAGCCTCTGCATTATCTGAATCAGCCCCCTTGTCCCTCAGCATGAGATATGTGCTGCAGAGGGACAAGGAAAGGGTTTGGATAAGAGAGCAGAGATCCCTGTCTGGAACTGTGAAGAGGAAGAGGAGGAGGAGAAGCCTTCAGAGGCAGGTGAGGCCACCCTGCTTCTGAATGGCTCCCGCAGAGCCCCTTGCAGCTCCACTGTCACTGTGGGGAAGGAGCGCGTCTGTGACAGCATGGCTGTGGAGGGCTGACACAGGGCTGGTGAAACTTGATCCCTGCAGGAACAGCAGAAGAGTCCTGGCTGGGGCTCTCTGCTCTGCCCTGTCAGGACCACAGCCTCCCTACCCTCCATCCCTCGCACCAGCAGGGATTGAGTGTCACCAGCTCTAGAGCAGCAGAAGGAAATTTTACCACCATTATAAAAGGTGTATAAATAACAGAAAATATAAATGGAAGAGACCTGTTAGAAGATCTAGTCCACTCCACTGCCAATGCAAGATATAGTGCCCGGGAAAAGGTCATACTCTGATATCAAACTGGTAACAGTCACTACTATTTAAACCAAACGGCAGAGAGAAGACATCACATGACACGGCAAGCCCAGCGTCTGAAGGATTCCTTCATTTCAAGGAGAGGGTCTAATCCTGCCACCCTTACTATGATCTCAAAAATTAACACGACTGTTCATGGAATGAAGTGCTACTCATAGGGTTGCCAGGCGTCTAATTTTTTACTGTAATGCCCAGTTGAAAAGGGACCCTGGCAGCTCCAGTCAGCACCGCTGCCCACGCCATTAAAAGTCTGGTTGGTGGTACAGTGCGGCTACGGCAGGCTCCCTGCCTGCCCTGATTCTGTTCAGCTTCCGGAAGTGGCCAGCATGTCCCTGTGGCCCATAGGAGCAGGGGCGATCAGGGAGGCTCCACTTGCTGCCCGCACCCACAGGCGCCGGCTCCACAGTTCCCATTGGCCAGGAACCACGGTCAATGAGAACTGCAGGGGTGGCATGGCAGTGCACACTGCGCAGAGCCGCCTGGCTGCCCATGCGCCTAGGAGCCGGACATGCCAGCCATTTCTGGGAGCTGTGCAGGGCCAGGGCAGGGAGCCTGCCTTAGGCCCGCTGTACTACCAGGTGGGAGTCGACGGAGGTGGGAGCCGAAGAAGGTAAGAGTCACCCCACTGGAGCCCAGAACTCCACCCGCACCTGCCCCAGGTTGGAACCTCTTTCTGGATCACGCACCCCACCCCTCCTCCTGTACCCCAACCCCCTGCCCCAGCCCTAGCCCTGAGCCCCCTCCCACACCCAAACTCCTTCCCAGAGCCCACACCCCACTCAACCCCTCCCGCAACTCAACCCCCTGCCCCAGCCCTGGGCCCCCTCTTCTACCCAAACCCATCATCCCTGGCCCCACCCCACAACCCACACCCCCAGCTGGAGCCCGCACCCCCTCCCACACTCCACCACCTGCCCCAGCCTTGAGCCCGCTCCTGCGCTCCAAACCCCTCAGCTCCAGCCTGGAGTCCCTGCCTACACCCCAAACCCCTCATCCCTGGCCCCACCCCAGAGCCCACACCCCCGCACCCTCCTGCAGCCCTGCCCCAGCTCAGAGCCCACTCCTGCACCAGCCCAGTGAGAGTGAGTGAGGGTGGGGGACTGTGAGCAACAGAGGAAGAGGGAATGGAGTGCGTGGGGGGTGGGGCCTTGGTGAAGGGACGAGGCAGGGGGGTGGGGAGGGTGTTTGGATTAGTGACATTAAAAAGTTGGCAACCGTAGCTACTCAGCTCACATAAGACTGATAGAATCAGGTGAAATCCTGGCCCCACTGGGAGTTTTGCCATTGGATGTCAACAATGGGGCCAGGATTTCAGCATCATAAGCCTAGAAACATCCATGCTACTTCGGGAAGCCATGGGCACATTACATGCCAAAGGTTTTGTAGAACATTAAATTTACTACATAGTAAACAGCAAATACCCTCACCTGACTTTCAGGCTAAATTTCTATTCAATGCAAAATACAAAAACCAACCAAACAACCCACCCTACGTTAATGCAACGTTCAGGTAACTTAGTCAAGCATTCAGCCATCAGGCAATGCCTAAGTAATATTTGCATACATGGCTTTAACTACATCCCCTTTGTGTGCATGCATTTCCCTTTGGGAGAAGATTCTTACTCCAAATTTACACCAGTGTAACCAGGATCAGAATCTGGGACACAATCCTTTCATCCACGATTACATAACATTACAGCAATATTACTGGTTTCAGAATAGCAGCCGTGTTAGTCTGTATCCGCAAAAAGAAAAGGAAGACTTGTGACACCTTAGAGACTAACTAATAAATTCGTTAGTCTCTAAGGTGCCACAAGCAATATTACTATACATTAGTAGGTCTCACCACTTTCCTGGTAAAAGGGCATATTCTTTACTTTTCCTGAATTCAGAGAAGCTGGATGGAATTTGATAAAAAATATCTTTGAACAGACACCAAGCATAGAAAATTTCAGCACAAAAAGCAACTTTCAGAAAGAGTGAGCCCCGGAAAACAGAGAGGCTGTAATGGAAACTATTTTGCAACTAACTCTAGCGGCTACTACCAGACACCACTATACTTTCGAGAGAGGAATCCCAAAATACTCTTTATCCAGCTACCTGGGCAGCCTGATCAGATTGCATAAAGAACATTAGCCAGTGTGGATTCCAGGTGACAGCTCCACGGTCTCCATTTATGGGACAGTTAATTAAGCAGGGTGAAGTACAGTGCTTGGAAACATAGGAGTGATCTCACCCAAGCAGCAAACAGTTCAGAGAGAATCTGTCCCAATGCGTTCCCAAGGACGGAACAGGTCACATAGCTAGATTATGAATTGCTAGTGCATAGCTGTCTGCTCTCCAGACTTCTTGCTGAGTTAACACCAAGCCGTCCTGTAAATATGAATGGCTCACAAGGACAGGGTGAGGCTCTATTAGACAACATATTGACCTCTCACTTCTGTACTCCCTAGTATGATGCACTGTGAAATAAGCTATAGGAAGCACTGACTTGAGAGGAGGCCACAAAGTAACAGCAGTACCACATTAAACACCTAATAAAAGGAACTGGTAACTATTGCTAGCTCCAGGCACAGAGAAGAGGTACCCAATGACAAGCAGCACTGTTCAGTTGAAGGCCATAATAGTTGTACCCCCGGAGCAGATTGAGGAAGTGATTTAAGGCCGCTAAAAAGGGAAGCACTGCAGTTAAACTGGTGAAAAGATCCGTGAGGGTTGTTTTGCTAATCTTGCTAAAGAACTCTTTGCTGGGTTTCCTGTGGAAAGTAATTTTCCACATACAGCATGAAATCAATAGGACCACTACCTATATGTGGAAAGAAAGAAGTGTATTCTCATATGCAAAAGGGAAAGACAGAAAGCAAAAGGCTCTGGAATTTGCCCCAAAGTGCAGATGAACAGATTATCCCTTGCTGGGTGAGGGAGAAGAAATGAAAGAAAGAGGTCACATACATAATACATCAATCTGCACTGCTTCTCCTGGATTTTTTCCTTCCTAATGGAAAAGTGTCTCCCTCTGCCAATAAATTCACAAAGTAAAGACAGACAAGAATGACGCATAGACTAAGGCCAGAAGGGGACAATCATGATCTAGTCTGATGTCTGCACATTGCAGGCCACTGAACCTCACCCTTCTACTCCTGTAATAGACCCCTAACCTCTGGCTGAGTTACTGAAGTGCTCAAATCACGATTTAAAAAGACTTCAAGTTACAGAGAATCCACCATTAACTCTAGTTTAAACCTGCAAGTGACCCATGGCTCCATGCTGCAGCGGAAGGCGAAAAAACCCTAGGTCTCTGCCAATCTGACCCAGGGGAAAATTCCTTCCCAACCCCAAATATGGTGATCAGTTAGACCTTGAGCACGTGGGCAAGATGCACCAGCCATCTGGGAAAGAATTCTCTGTAGTAACTCAGAGCCTTCCCCATCTAGTGTCCCATCGCTGACCTTTGGAGATATTTACTACTAGCAGTCGCAGATCAGTCCTGATACTGGGTCAGGAAAATCAGGCCACATCAGCTCAGTGGAACATATACAGATGATGTAAAAATCATGTTCAAACAGCCTGATCAAGGATAAACAATAATTTAATGTAAGAGGATGAATGCAGCTGACAATCCCCATGCCATTCTAAATATCTTGTTGCACCCATGACGACTGTCACGTAAGACATGGTGCACCTTTTCTTCCACTGCATATTTTACTGTACTCATTTTGCAAACAAACAATCTCTAATATGATCCTAGGCCATATATTTTATGATGCTAAGTTCTTAGCTATTAATGGGTGTACCTT